CCACATTTTTAACTCATGAAAGAAATTTAACTCATAGTAAAGAAATGCTACCTTCTTTTCACCTCTGATCACCCATGAATCATAAAATTCTAAACAAAAAGAGATAGCAACAAGAAGTGACAGATGGAAGGAATAAGATGAATGGAGGGGCTGGAGAAAAATTGCTTAGAGGTCAAGAGCACTTACTGCACAATTATGAAGACCAGAATTTGGATTCCAGCATCCATTAAATGAGGTGAGCACACCAAGCATGCCTGATACCCCAGGTCCAAGGGAGGTAGAAACTAGAGGATTACTAGGGCTTGCAGGCTTCCAGCCTAGCTGTGAAAACTCCAGCTCCAGGTTCAGGGAGAGACCTTGCTTCAAAGGAATAGGTGAATAGTAACAGATAAGGATTCTTGATGACCTCTTCTGGTCTCCATGCACATGTACAGAAGCATGTACCTACTCACACACATGAGCATACACTCATAGGCACATGTACATACATGTAAAAAAATAAATACATAAATAAATCTTTAAAATAGGTAACCAATAGAGAGAGGATAAGAGAAAACAGTGGGGGTAAAGATTGAGGGAAAATAGACATGTACACGATTTACCTTTTCAAAGAGATACATCTTCAAGGAAAAAACAATTGAGTCAAAAACAGCAAAAGAGATTAGTGAAGCAAAACACAAACAAGGCAGAAATATAGTCAAATGAAATGGATGGTTTTTAGGATGTAATGTATTAGACAAAATATTTTAAAATAAAGAAGCAACATGCTATTTTTAGATGCTGCAATGGAAATTAGTTGTGGTTATAAATTTCCAGTGCCACCACAACAGAATGCCACACATAGGTGGTTCTAAATGCCACAGTGTATTGCCTCATTGTGGGAGTGAAAATCTGAAGTCAAAACTGGGCAGTGATGGTACGCACCTTTAATCTCAGCACTGGGGAGGCAGAGGCAGACAGATCTCTGTGAGTTGGAGACCAGCCTGGTCTACAAGAACTAGTTCTAGGACAGCCTCCAAAGTCACAGAGAAACCCTGTCTCAAACAAACAAACAAACAAACAAACAAATCTGAAGCTGAGGTATCCACAGGACCGTATTCTCTGATAGCACTAGGGGATAACTTTTGCTTTTCCCAGCAAGTTTGTAGACTCCCTGGAATTTGTTTGTCTCCCTGGCTCCATCTCTCTTTGTCTCTCTCACTATCTTTCTCTCTCTCAAGATAATACATCAGTATGGAAGGGTAGATAAACACATCCATGCATATTCACACGAAGACCAGAGGTGAACCTTGGGCATTGTTCCTTGGGACAGTTTCTTGGGTTTTGTTTGTTTGTTTGTTTGTTTGTTTTGTTTTTTAAGACAGGATTTCTTACTGTTCTGTAACTTACCAATTTGGGTAGAGTAGCTGGTCAGCAAGCCTCAGAGATCTATGTCAGGCAACCTCCCCAGCATGGGTGTTACACATGCACACCAGCATATATTTATTTAGTGTGTGTGTGTGTGTGTGTGTGTGTGTGTGTGTGTGTGTGTGTGTGTGTGTGTAAGTCAAAGTCCACAGCTGGCTTTTTTTATGTAGGTTCTAGGATCAAACTTATATCCTCATGCTTACAGAGCAAAGCAAGCTGTTTACTGACTGGAATACCTCCCCAGCCCAACCCACAAGAGTTCCAGCTTGAGAAGCATCCCTCCAAACTCTGACTCCAGGATAATACAGCCATCTTTATACTGTCTTGCTTTTGTCAGTGCTTGCATCCAATTTATGCAGGACTGAGAACCAACACTGGGGCTTCCTGTATGATAGGAAAGCCAGATAGCCTCTGAGTTCCACTCTCGCCTCACAATACAGGTCTGGGCTGGTTTAATTGTCTGCAACCAGGTCTCTGTGTAACCCCAGCTGGGCTGGAACTCACTATGTAGACCAAGTTGGCCTCAAACTCAGAGAGGTTTTTCTGCCTCTGCTTCCAGGTACTGGGATTAAAGGCATGTGCCACCATGCCTGACCCACAATGCAACTTTTATTAGTAAGTGGCTCATAGATTGCCAGGTAAATAGACTTCTTGGTCCTGGTCCCTGAACAGTCCTTCTCTTGCAAACCTTCTGTCTTGTCAATGTCAACAGAGCATGTGCCCCGTACACAGTCACCTGAAGGAGGAAGAAGAGATGGCACTAGCTGTCAATATTTGCCCAATTTCTTCTTCATTCCCACCCATTAGGTAAAGCACTTCACTTTTTCTGGAGCAGAGTAAGTTTGTATGTCTGAATGCATTTCCAAATAAAAAGGGTCTTAAAATCTTGCATGCATACAGCTTCCTCTACTTGGAAGAAAGTGAAAGACATTGTATCTGAAAAAAAAAAATGAAACAATTAAACTGGAATTGATAGAGTCACTCAAATGATTTCCTTAGCAGTGGCACTGAATGGCCTGTTGTAAAGTATGGGGGAAGATTACATTTGGTTACCGAAAAAAGAAAATCACTAATCTAATAGGCAGAATATGGCAATTATCTACAATCATAGTACATTACATTACCAAGCTCTGAATATTATAACACAATAACAATGTATCATACATTCATTTGCTTGTTTTTTAGGCCCATCCTGTAGTGCTGTGTGTTATCTGCTTTCTTCTTTCCTTACTTTCTTTTTCTTTTCTGATTCCTCTTTTCCTGGCTCCATTTGGATCAATCATTTTAGTTCCATTTTAATTCATCTATGTTTCCTTATACCTCTGTTTTAATGTTTTCTTGGTTCATTTCTGTTGTTTATAACAAAATGGGTAAGTTATAGAAAAAAAAAAAGGTTTATGGCAGGCATCATTACAAACACTCAATCTATCCCAGTTCTAGGGATGTTAAGGTGTGAAGACACCATCTTCCCCACAATGAGTTCCAGTGCTGCACAGTGAAAAACCATCTCAAAAAAAAAAAAAAAAATGGAGTGGGAGATCGGGGAGGATGGATGGAAAGGTAGGACACTGGAAAAATCATTTTAAATAAAGCTTGGTGATGCATACCTGTAATTTCAGCACTTAGACAGTAGAAGCAGGAGTTTTCAGGCGTTTCCAGTCATCCTTGACTATATAGTGAGTTCAATGGGAGGCTGGGCTATGTGAGACTGTCTCAAAAACAAACAAAACAAAAAGAAGGAAGAAACAGGAAAAGTGGAAGAAAAAATTTAGGCAGAGACAGGCTTAGGGACTGCATCAGCTAAGAGCCTTTTGGTCTAGATGTCCCTAGGGGAAGCAGGTTAGCACATGACAAGAGCCAGATGGAGTTTGGATGCATCTCTTCCTGTCTCTCTTCTTACAGAGCCACCAGGATCCAATCATGGTAGCTCTGTCCTGAGCACTTCTTTAACCCTAGTCACTCCTAAAGTCTCCATCTCCAAATACTAGAACTGGATTAAGCTTCTACTCCCTTCACACATCTCTAGCATGACCCTCATAAGGATTAAGCTCTCCCGGAGAGCTGTTGTTTCTGATTATATATTCTTATCAGATCATATATGCACATATACTATAAACTTAACATGAATGGGATAAAATTTAGTTTACCAATAGCATGTCTTTTTACAAATTAGGAGAGAAAAATTTTTAAAGTATATCATGGTTTTTCTTTTCAATGTGCATTCTGACCCTCTTTCTTCACTCCTACAGATGTAAATTGCTCTCTAGGGTCAAGAATACCTTCCTTTGTACAATTATGCCAGCAATGAAATATCTTTACTTCATCTTCAATATTAAATGATAGCTTTGCTTGATTTAGTATTCTAAGTTGGTGGATTAATTCCTTAACATTTAAAAAATCATACTGTATTTTATTCTGTTGCCACTATTTCTGAAAAGAAGTGAATCATGATTCATATAATCACAATTGTGTCTAATTGTCACTTTTCCTGTGTGTGTGTGTGTGTGTGTATGTGTGTGTGTGTGTGTGTGTATGTGTGTGTGCGCGCGCGCGCTTGCCTGCATGCTTGAACATGTGTATGCAAGCCTCAGATCCCTCCCCAGTCATTCTCCATCTTGGTTTTTGCTGTTGTTGTTGTTGTCTGTTTGTTTTTGAGACTTAAGTCTCACTATGTAGCACCAGGCTGGTCTCAAATTATCAGAGATTCTTTCTAGTTCTTCTACCTCCCAAGAGCTTGGATTAAAGGTGTACACCACCATGCCCAGCTTTCCACATTGGTTTGGTTTTTGGTTTTTGAGACAGAGTCTCTCATTTTTATTTAAGATTTGCTGGTTCAGCTAAACTAGCTAGCCAATAAGCTCCAGGAATCCATCTATCTCTACCTCCTAAGCACATGCATCATACCTGGCTTTTTGTTTTTTTCTAGATTTTTGGAACAAAACTCAGGCTTTCATGATTGTCCAGCGAGAACTTCACCAGCTGAACCATCAACATATTCCTTTTTTTCCCCCCCAAGTATTTCATATATTTTATTTGCAAAAATCCTGATTTGTTCCCATGTTTAATTTACAAAAGTTGTCTAAAGTGAACTGACATTTTATAGATACAAGTTAGGTTGGGACATTCTGTGTGCAGTGTCATGTGAATGTGGCCCCTGCATTGGCGCTGTTCCTGTCTGGCTTGACCCTGCTGAGGAGACGAGCCCTGGAGCCAGATGCAGTCAGCAAGTGTTTCCTGGCTTTTTGTTAGGCACCCCATGATGTGTCCTCAGTGGCTGCCACTGCAAAAGGGCCTGCATCACTTTCGCTGATGCAAACCAGCCTGGAGTATGGTATGAGTAGAGGGTCCCCACTTGTGTACTGTCTTCCTCGGGTTTGCAGCCAGTCATCTAACTTGTACTTCCAGAGACATGAGTTTCTAAAAACAGGAAGGATGCTTCAGCTTCATTCTAGAACTAGGAACAGGTTTCAGATGTGACAGAGCTGAGTTAAAAGGGTTTTCCAGGACTGTGTCACTTTCCAATGTGAGCCCTTTGCATTCAAATCTGGAAGTCTGATTCAGTTTTGGCTCCTGGCTGGAGTGGAGAGGAGGCTGCTCACCCTGTAGAGCTCTGTACACATGCTCCCTGCAAGTTGATAGGAGGGGACTGTGCTCATAGGTACAGCATGATGAGTTCATCGCTTACAGCAGATGGTGTCAGCACACCCAGGTCTGTAAACAGCAGGGTAATCAAGGATGGGGAAGTATAGTCAACCCAGGGGTGTTCCTCTTTGAGATCCTGCCCAGTCTGCATGGACTTCAGAGTGTCTGCCTTGTACTTAAACTTATCTGGGACGTCTTGCTGATTAAGCGGGAAGAGCCGTACAAACTTGAAACTTTCTGCAACCACATAGAAGGGCTTGTTTTGGGCTTTGGCACACACGGCCATCTGGTTGGTTCCAATCTTGTTAATAATTCCTCTGTTCTCAACCACTCCTTCAGCACCAACTATGACAAGATCTGCTTTCTCCATGATATAGCCAACAGCAGCATCTAGCACCACAGTGACAGGGACATTGAGGTGGCAGAGGGCTTTGGCCATTTTCTTCCTGGATAAATCAGGTTGAGACTCCATGATGTACACACTGAACCGCTTCTTGGCTGCCACAGCTTCTTCCAGGACCTTTAGAACAACTCTGGAGTATGCGTGAGTCAAAATTCTCGCCCCATCTTTGATGAAGGTATTTTGCAATTTTGTTTCTTGACAAGGATATTCTCCTGAGGAAAAGCTCCCCTCTCTCAATCATGATCTTACATTTAGAGTAATCAGAGTACTCCAGGGAGATGAGACTGATGAATTGAAGGAAGAGCTCTCCACCAGAGGACACGGCCACGGTGGAGTCCACACCACATAGGGTTTCTATGGTGCTGGTGAGATTTGCTCTCAGGCCCTGGAGTGTCTCCCCTTTATCTCTCTTCAAGAACTCCAGCAAAGTCCAGATGGCAGCCACTGCTGAGGCCATGTTAGGATTGCCTTTCATCTGAGACTTGAAGTATTCGATTAACTCATGGTTCTCCATGGCTCCCTCGTGAACCCCGCAACCGCGCCGGCAGCAAGCCACAGGGTGACCCAACATATTCCTTAACTGTCATTTTTTTCTGGGTGTTTTCAAGACTTTCTCTTCGGCTAAGCACAATGACTCACACAGATATTCCCATTATTTGGGAGGCTGAAGCAAGAGGATCTCTGAATTTTGGTCACCCTGAGACCACTTCTCAAAACACAAAAATAAACACTTCAACTTTGGTTTAACAATTTGACCATGGATGACATTAGGGTTGCTTACCTTATTTTTATCCTAGCTAGGGCTTGTTGAGACTTTGTAACCTACATATAGGTTCAGGTTGTGAAAGACCCTTCTTAGATGATTCTAATTTTCTATTTCTTGCTGAATTAATTTTGGCAGACTTCACTAAAACATTGCCCATTTCATCTATATTTTCAAATTCACCAGCATAAAGTTGTTAATATCTTTTTCTTGAGTTGTGTGCAGTGGCTATAGTGACAGACCTTTTTTGAATCCCAGAACAGTACTTGTGCCTTCTCTCTAATTTTGGTCAACTCCACAACTGTTACTTTCATAATTCCAGCTTTTGTCACTATGATCTATGTCATTGAGGACAAACCCTTGTTTGTCCCAAAGCTTCTCTTTGACTTTTATGTTTGTTTTTTAATTGCTATCATTATTCTTTGCTTTGTTTTTCATGTTTGCTATTTATAATTTAGTATCAACTTTTAAGAGCTTATTTGATGGATAATAAGCATATTCATTGAAAGATAATTTTACAGTCATTTATTTATTCTTTGTGTGTGTGTGTGTGTTCACACATTCATGCATGGATGTGTGAGGTCAGAGGGCAACTTGGAGGAATAAGTCCTCTCTTTCCATCATTTGGGTCCTGGGAATCAAACTCAGGTAGTTAATCTTGGCAGCAAGCACCCTTACCCACTGGCCCATCTTGCCACTGAACTTCACTAATACTGGTCTTCATTATTTTCTTATGTAGGATAGAAAACTATGCATGTTCCTCTCATTACATTTTTGGCTTCATACCTCCATTTGTAGTTTGTAGCACTGCCATTATTGTTTCACATATGATTTGTGTAAAATAATATCCTTTATTTATAAATGTAAAAGTAATTTCCACTTACCTGTTACTGGTGTCTCCAGTAGTTACATGGATTGTAGAAATATTTGGATATTGTTTAATTCTTTTTTGCTTTGTTCTTCTATCAGAGATAATGTTATAAAACCCAGACTTGAGCTCACTATGTAGCCCAGGCTGCCCAGATGTGCATGCAATGCCATAGCTGACTCTTTCAAGACATTTTCATTCTTGCTTTACAGTCACATTTAACATACTGGGTACTTGGTGGGAAGTATGTGTTTTCTTGACTTCCGTGTAGTTGTAGTATTTAACAGATATTTATGAATCTGCCTATCAATGTATATTGATCATTTTATATTTTAAGTGATTGGTTTTCTTATTTGATAACTTCTATCAGTAAATGATACAAGCATATTGGGGTTTTCCCTTTTAATTGAAAGTCTGTGCCTTTCTCCTCAGAATAGGAAAGCTACTTCAGGAATTTCAGTTGAGGACCCCAGCTGTGCATAAGTGTCAATCATTTGTAAGTGATGTAGCCATTTTCATTAGCTGATTTTAAGATTTTGCTGGCCTTACAATGTATCTATTGAGCTTTAAATTTTGGTTATTTTTCATTTCTAGAATCTGTATCACTTTTTATAATGTCATGTTACCTAGAAAGCATTTCATTTTCTTTTTATTTCTTTAAACATGACATAATTATTTCCAAATACATGTCTAATAATTCCACTTTTTAAAATCTATACAGATGGTGGGTGGTGGTGGTGCACACTTTTAATCTTAGCACTCAGTGGGCAGAGACAGGCAGATCTCTGTGAGTCTGAGGCCGTCCTGGTCTACAGAATGAATTCCAGGACAGGCTCCAAAGCTACTGAGAAACCCTTGTCAAAATAACAAAACCTATACAAGTATATATACATGTATGTGTCTATGCATGCTCCACATACGTGTGAAGGTCAGAGGAGTCCCATCTTACCTTCCTTCTCTTGGGTCCTGAGGATGGAACAAGTTATCATATTTAGTGGCACATCTTTGCCCACCAAGTCATCTCTCTGGCCCCTATCAGTCTTTTGTGTCTCCTGATTTTCATTCATGATGTCTCTTTGCCTCTATACCACCACTACCACAAGTATCTTATAATCACTGTCTTTGAAAATTACTTCTGTCAGTTGCCCAAATTCTGGCATAGATGTACTGTTAAGAAAGCATACATGTTTCTCCTTAGGATATTGTAAGGACCAACAGCTACAGCTACATCTTAGCTCAAGTTTGCCACGGGCATGTCTTTAGTTTCTGAGTTGTAGATACTATGATCCTGGATGCAAAGCTATCTAAAAGCTGCCATGTCCCCAAATCAAATCCCATAAGGTTTTTTTTTTTTTCATGTTATATTTATTTCCAAGGAATACTTTGTCACAATCTCTCTTGGTTGGACTGGAGAATGAGTTTAGATATGGTTTACTTTATTTATTCTGAGTGTGAATCTCATCCCAATTTAACATCAGGACTATCTCCTTTAAGATCTTGGATACTGGGCATGACTTCTGTCTTTCTTGTCTAAGGAGGATATATACCCACAACTCAGTTTTGCAGATATAGCAAATGCTGTCAAGATATTAGCCTCATGGATGAGCATGTATACTTACATATACATACACATTCATAAAATGAACATGTATGCTCATAAATCTTGTAAACGACTTTTTTATAATAATTTACAGTTTCTACTATAATTTCACATTCATAATTCATGAAGTCTAATTGGTCTTAATAATAAAAACTCAGAATCAGCTATGGGGGTGGGGGAGTTAAAAGATCAAAGAAGCAAAGCAGTCAGCCATTAGCTCTTACCTCTACCTCAGACCAAATGGGCGATCATGTCTCCATGAATCCTCAGACTGAATGCTCAGACTGACTGCCTATACTGCCTAGACTACATCCTTAGACTGCTTCAGACTAACTGCTCAGACTGCCCTGAGCTCCAATCTCCTTCCGCCTATATTCTTCTCTCTGCCCAGCCATATTACTCCTGTCTCCACCTCCTTAGTACTGGGATTAAAAGCATGTCACTCCAAGTGCCGTGATAACCTTCGTGTAAGCTCTGTTCCTCTTTAGACTGAATCAGTTTCATGTAGCCCATGATAGCCTTGAACTAACAGAGATCCCTCTGCCTCTTTCTCCCAAGTGCTAAGATTAAACATGTGTACCACTACTTCCTGGCTCCTATGGCTATCTAGTGTGGCTAGCTTTGTTTGCACTCTGGTCTTCAGGCAAGCTTTATTTGTTAAAGCTCAAACAAAATATCACCACAAGATAGCTAAAGAGAGCCCTAACTTTCTGATCCTTCTATCTCTTCTATGCTCCATCAGGAGCATTGAGATTAAAGGCTGTTTTTTGTCATTGGTTTTTGTTTTGTTTTGAGTTGTTTTATTTTTGGTTCTGGGGATCAAATCATCCCGAATGCTAGGGAAACACTTTGCTAATTGAACTACACCCCCAGCTCCTCAGGTTCTTGATATTAAAAAAGAAAGTTTAATGTGTCAAACTATATTACATAATATTCCCCATTGTTTTTAGCTGAGGAGATTATCTAAAGAATCCAATTTGCTGGTTTTGGAAACCAGAAGCTACTACTTAACATCAAACTATTTTTATATGTTACTTCTATTAAAATGAAACTTGAATAAAAGAAAAACGCAAGCAGGCACCAAAAATGGGAAGATATAGAAAGAGTCATGTAGGAAAGGGATGGAGAACTATTAAGGACTAAAATTCTGACTTGGGGGAAGAATTCACACCACAGACAAACTTCCAGCTTAGTCTCAAATGGTCCAACAACAGAGAGAAACCGTGCCCATTTCAGGAAAACATACCACTATGTGGCAAATTTGAAGAGGCAAGGAAGGATGACATATTGGAGAAAGGATGGTGTGCGGCCATTCCAGTGTAGGCATGTGCAGCAGCTTCAAGGTACCCAACAGTGGTGGGTGCTCTCCATTCCTCACCTTTGTTCCCTTCACCAATGATCTGACTCTTGACTTAATACTCCAATTTCAGTCCATTCCATGACCACCAGATCTGAAGGTAGGGCTTGGTTTCCAGGCACTGACTATGAATATTCTCAATGAGTTTCTCTCTTCGTGACCTGATCTCCTTGGCTGGCTTTAAAGCTAACACAAAATCCCTGGTGCCAATCAGTTAGGATCACTATAGCTCTTCTCCTGACAATCAATTATCCTAATTACCAAGATATAGAAGAGAGAGAGATATATAGATATGTGGGAGAGGATGACGTTGAATTTAAAGCATTCCAAGGAGGTGGGGATGCAGCTTTGTTAAAGTACTTGTCCAGCAAGCATGAAGCCCTATGTGTGATCCCTGAATGATGTAGCACAGGACTTTAATCCCAGCACTTGGGAGGGAGAGGCAGGTGGATTTCTTGTGAGTTCGAGGCCAGCCTGGTCTACAAAGCAAGTCCAGGACAGCTAGGGTTGTGACACAGAGAAATACTGTCTTGAAAAGATAAAGAAAAAAAAAAAGTTAAAAGTCATCATCAGCTATATAATGAATTCCAAGCCATCATGACCTACGTGAGACCCTTTCAAAAGAAAACAGTTGAGACTGAAATACAAAAACCTTATTAAGTTGCTAGCTATATTAAATTCAGAACTCAAAATGACACTTAAAAATAAAGACAAGAAGACTCAGTATATGGAAGGTAACTATAGGGCTGGAGACGTAGCTCAATAGTTAGAGCGCCTACTGTGGGGCTGGAAAGAGAGCTCAGCGGTTAAGAGTCTCTGCTGCTTTTGTAAGGATCTCAGTTTGTTTCTAATATTGGCTCATAATCACCTGTAAATCAGCTCCAGGGGTTCTAATACCATCTCTGGTCTTCACTGACACCTGAACTTACATGCACACACATGGGCATACAAATATATGTGGAATTTTA